GAAAATGAAAATTTGCCTTCCATCTATTCTCTTCTTAGCAATCTTCACAGGTACCCTTTTATTTGGGAGACAGATCCACTTTCAGGTTTAACATACAGACGGAGCCTTAATATGTCTTCTGTTCCAGATGTCCAGTCAGAGGTCCAGCTGGTGGAGTCTGGAGGGGACCCCAAAAGGCCTGGAGATTCCCTCCACCTCTCCTGCCAAGCCTCTGGGTTCTCCTTCAGCAACTATCGGATGGGTTGGATCAGACAAGCTCCTGGAAAAGGCCTGGAATTCGTTGCAGGGATGCACCCAACAGACTCTTCCCACATTTACCATTCAAATTAAGTGAAGGGTCGTTTCACCATCTCCAGGGACAACTCAAAGAGCCAGCTGTACCTGCAAATGAAGAGCCTGACAGCTGAGGACACAGCTCTGTAGTATTGTGCAAAAGACACTGTGGGGGAAGTCAATCTTCAATGAGCCAAAAACTCCCCTTTGTTTCCTTTAATTTCTTTTACACTATTAGATTTCTATACTACCTAATAGGCACTTCTCTTTGGGTGGTTTAGGCACATAGAAACATAGAAAAATATGGTCAAATGATTAAAAATCTTAAAAACACAACGCTGTGCATAATATCAAAACTGTTTGCATGCAAGCATAAGAACAGAAAGCACACAACTTTTACAAACTACCATTTAAAAATGTCCACATGGATATCCATGCTACATACCATAACTGTTGTAAGAATTATCCTTTTCCCTGTTCAGGAAAATTTGTATTAAATTCACTGGGGTTTCAATGCAATGGGTCTGGAAGGACCCATTTCAAGCACAGCCCTCCCAACTTGAATGGGAATGCTTGGGGGTGGAGGATTGGCATCATATATGGTTGAGTATACTTAAAAGTTTGTCCACAATTGCCATTTCTGCATGATCAGGGACCCCAGTAATGCTTACAAATGTGTCCCCGTTAAGCAAAATGCTCCCTTTTGCTGTCCCCTATCAATGAAGAAAGTTCAAGAACGGAGGGGTGATTGAATTGAAACTGTAATTATTCCTAAGCTGAGTGAAGTATTGAAGAGCACACCAACCTGGCTCCAGGGTCCATGGAGCAACACCACTACAGATATCTCAGATGGAATATTCTATTCCTTCAGAAAATGACCTTTTTTCCAAGATTCTTTGAAAGGAGATGTGACGCTGTAGTAATTGAGCATAAAATAATATTTATATTCCCTCACCCTTGTTTTTGGTGCTTGAAACTTTCCTGAAAATGAGCTATGCAGGACATAACGTGGTAAATTTTGTGTGCCAGGGAGGCAGTCTTCGATGTTTCTGTGCAGTTGGAAGTACTGGAAGCTGGGTGTTTTTCCCTCTGGTCATCCTTCTTGCCATTTATTTTGAACCCATACCAATTAACCCATCTATAAGTACAATCAGGTGTTTTACACTATTTCTCAGAGATCTGCCTCTAGTAGAACTGATGTGATTGCTGAGAGAAGCTTATCTCAAGGCCAGACTCCTCTGGTGGGCAGCCTTTGGGAATAACTAAGATGTACAGTTGGCCAGAGGGGAGTTTCTCAGACTCAGGCAAGGTGGCCCCAGCTCTTGATCCCATGACTCATCACCACCTGAAGAGGGCTGCCCAGTTAAAGGATCAGTGTGTGGAAAGGAGGCTTGCTCGCTTTTAGAAGACCCATCCCAAAGGGCTGTGACCCAGGCACACTCATAAGGAGAATTGCTGGAAGTGATTACTAGATTGGGTACAACAAGCCACTCCGTACATGCTCAGGGATTCATTCTGACATTTTGCACTTTTTGGCAAGAAAGAGTACTTTGTCACAGTCTGTGGTTTTAGAATGCACAAAGGAGGGACTCTTGCTCTTGACAGCAACTACTTAATATATATACCCTTAGAACGAATATTTCTTGACTGACTGCAGTCCTATGTAGAGCTGAGGGAAAATTTGTGATTCAGTAGGAAAAATTTGTGATTCAGTAGGGAACAGAAGGACCTGTCCTGCTGACCTGGATTAAAATCTAAAAGGTCTATAGAGGAGAAGGAACACTGAGCTGGGTTCAAGAGCCTTATGGGCTCTTTTCAACTCTATTTGGAAGCCACCCCGAGGCTTCGGCGAATGGGGCGGCATAAAAATGTTTTAATAAATAAATAAATAAATAATATTGTTCTATGATTCTATGAGAAAACCTAATCTCTAGATTTTTAATTTGGTCAGAGTTGTGTATATGACAGTAGTTATGCATCATCTTGGATTCAGTGGCACCATATATATATATATCTTCCCAGTTTAACAGTGTACACACCTGTAATGGTTTGACAGGAGGGAAAACAGTCCCTGTTTCAAGCAGTGCAACATTAATTGCTGCAAAAACAACCTATAGAAAGCAAGCATGGAAAGATCAAAGGCTGTATGCCATCTTCTAGGTCTATTCCAACATTGTTCTTCATGGTGGGATTTCAGGGAGAAGTCACTGAGATGCTGCATCACCATCTCTATGTCTTTCTTCCAAAGATAACCCTGCCTGCCTCTCTTGGATGATTTTGGATCACACGTGTACAATGTCTGAACCCCAAATTGCTGCCTCCTCCTTCCTCAGTCATGTTAGGCAATGATTTGCCATATCTGAAATCATGTCCTTCATACACACACAAAGAGATAGAGTTGAAGGGAGTTGAAGGGAAGTCTTTTTGTCCTCTGTGATATGTAAATACAGAGGAAGCTACATGTTTAAATACATCCCAGCCTCTCCCTGCCAAGTCATTCTCAGAAGAAACTTGTTCTTAAAGTTTTTTCATTTCTTTTAAAAATCCCTTTCAAGTCAAAAAGGAGAAAATGCTATTTTGGTTTTTATTTTGCCTCTTTTTAGCCAAATTTGAAGGTACTCTTTCTTCTTCAAGTGAAGATGACTAGCACATTCTTGGGATTAATTAGATGTATGACTCATTAACATATATTTTGTTTCAGGTGTTCAATCACAGATCCAGCTGGTGGAGTCTGGAGGGGATGTCAAAAGGCCTGGAGAGTCACTCCATCTCTCCTGTCGAGCCTCCGGCTTCACCTTCAGCAGCTACTGGATGCAATGGGTGCACCAGGCTCCTGGAAAGGGACTGGAATGGATAGGGGAAATTAATCCAGCTTCCTCCACCGTTCGCTACTCAAATGCAGTGAAAAGGCACTTCACCATCTCCAGGGACAATGCCAACAATCTGCTGTACTTGCAGTTAGGCAGCCTGAAATCTGAAGACACGGCTCTGTATTACTGTGCAAGAGACACAGTAAGAGGAAGTGACTCTGAGATGACACAAAAACCACTGCCTCACAGCAGCTCTCCAGGATGATTAAAGAAAATGTTAGAAGGAAGGGATTCCCTAGCTCTCTTTACTCATTCTTAAATCAGATCTGTGAAAGGTATTCAAGGTCAACAGTCTTGCTCACCACCACCCCTTGCACTCTCAAACACTCTAACTTGAGCTGGAAGGTCTGAAGGAGATCATACACATGTTTGGTTATGATTACAGTCTTTCCCAGAGTAAGTGACTCTACACAGTTAGGAGTCCCTGCATGGATTTGCACCCACAAATTCTATTCACATTTACATCTAGTTCTGCAAGATGGAAATTGTATAAATCCGCACACAAACACATATATGTTGGAGTGAATCACGTATCTCATATTTGCTGAGAGCAGGGTTCCTAGGTGCAGTTAAGATTGCTACTGCATTTTGCAAAATTTGCTTGCAATCCCCCTTTAACCCTCCCATTAAATTTTAGTGGTTGGACATGCAAGGGTGGATTTAATGCATATGTGACTGTCTCATCCAGGTACAGAATTTAAGAATATACTGATATAGCATCTCCATCCAGGACACTGTGGATTTTTCACACAGTATTATTATGACTCCCAGCAACCTACTTTTCCAAATATGACAGAAAATGTGGCAGTTAAGGGGCCAGCAGGCTTTTCTTGTAGGCATTGCTTTCTTCTTGAGATTGAGCATCAGATGAGGAGCTGGCTGGGATTCTTTGGTCAGGGTTACTTGAAAGTCCAAAGTTGAGTGCTTGAAATCAGGGGACACTAGCCATTCCTTGCTTTTATATGGGAAGGATATGAAGCCTACTGCAGAGAGGAACAGAGATAGGTTTCGGTGCCTCCTTCAGAGCTGCTGTTACTGCAAGCCACCATCTTCAAGGGCTCATGGTTCTAGGACATGAGACCCATATGCTTCAGGTAGCACCAGGTGGGAGCAGGGGTAGAAGAAGGCATGGATTCTTATCTTTGTAGAAAGAAGAGGAGGCATTGGTTGGTCACAGGTGTAAGCAGTAGAACCTCTCAGCTACCTGGCATTTCTGAGCATACGGATACAATTTTTGGTCTGCTGTGTCAGGACCCGGGCAGTTCCAGGGCTCCATCTGCTGGCCCAGAACAGAACAACCACCACAGTATTGGTCCCAGACCCTGTTAGATCTGTCAGCCTCCTGATGAATGCCAGCCAGGAGCCCTAGGAAGAGCTCTGTAACTCTTCCCTCCAGAAGTTCCTTTATCAGTGGTGGCTTCCTGATTTCTGTTGTGTGTTTCAGGGCCTGCATTCGACCTGATCCAATTCCCCCCTTGCCTCCCTGCCTTGCTACCTTGCTCTGCTTGCTATGCCTTTGCTGTTCCTGAATCCTGTCTCAGATATCTGTCCCCTGACTTTGACTCTGTCTCTGATATATCTACTGGACTTTGGGCTGTATTTGGACTCTGTCTTGACCCTTGTCCTGGTGTATCTGCCTTGACTTTCACTATCCATGTCCCAAATGCTGACACAGCTGTTATGCCACTTCAGCTCCTCCACCATCCTCCTCTAAGTTCTGGGTTTCATTACTATTTGATAGTTGTGCCAGTGTGTGATAGGGAAGTGGGTAAATACCAACATTCTATATTTTAATATTTTTGAGGTGGAGACATTAGTTCCTGAATTAAGGTCCTTTGAATCAAGTGCACATGACTTTTAAAGGTCATCTGGGCTTGAAGATTTGTGATGCACTGAATTCTCACAAGCCTTCATTAAAAAAAAAAGAATCCATTGTTAGCCCACTGCATTTTTATATCTACTTCATGCTTTAAATACAAGTCAGTCAACCTGTCTTACACATCTCTGCATCATGGATCAATCCCATAGATCTACCCCAAATCATAGAATTGTTTGTGCACCACCAAGAGAGTTTCAACTATAGAAAGGATAAAAATAGCAGCAACAGCCATGTTGCCATACTTCTTTTTTCATGCATATGTCAATCTTCTAGTCCTGTTCAATCTTTTTGCATCACGGATCTGCATCTTCTACATTTGAGCCCCTAATGGCTCAATGAGCACCTAATGTGTGTTGTTTGTTGCATATGGTTGCTTTGTTTTTTGTTTTTTTTAAGCCATCCAGAGACTTTTACTAATGAGATGGCATATAAAAACTTCAAATAAATAAATAAATAAAGGAATTTATTTTCCTTCCCAGAGATCCAAAAGTACTGGTTTGCCATCTGCCAACACATGTGAACACTCTACATGCCCAAAGAAGCAGAGATGTCCAAGGGCCTTTTTATCCAGAGTCATATGTAAATGTGGCTGCAGTTTCCTGTTTAAATCAACTCTACCTGTCCTTTCCCGGGAAGCATTACAGCCAGATACACATCCCCTTTCTGCCTGTGACCACTTTGTGTTTATCTCCTCCCAAAACAGAATAAGGAAAATGATATTTTGGCTTCAATTTATTCTCTTTTTTGCAGTCTTCCAAGGTATTTTTTCTGCTTACAGAGAAGGAGGACTGGGAAATGTTAAGGGTTGTGGGTAGCAGAACTTGATACTGTCTTTTATTTCAGTTGTCCACTCAGAGATCCAGCTGGTGGAGCCTGGAGGGGATACCAAAAGGCCAAGAGACTCTCTGCACCTCTCCTGCCAAGCCTCTGGTTTCACCTTTAGCAGCTTCTACATGGACTGGGTGAGATAGGCTCCTGGAAAGGGCCTGAAATTTGTTGCGTTGCTGTATCCACCCTCAGCAAGTGACATTTACTACTCACCTGAAGTGAAAGGACGATTCACCATCTCCAGAGACAATTCACAGAGCCAGCTGTATTTGCAAATGAACAACCTGAAAGCTGAGGGCACAGCTCTGTACTACTGTGTGAAATACACAATGAGGGGAAGTGAACCTTAACCAAAGCAAAAACTCTGCTTTGCCCATAGCAGCTTGCTAGGTCCTCTCATCAGCTACAGAATGCTGAAAGGATAAAGTCAGGTGCAAGGAAACTAGGGGAATGTTGATTCTGTCCCTATCATTGAGTGGACTGGCACTCATCCTGCCAGCACCTATGGTCCAAAATGTAATAGTGCAAATACTGGCAAGGCAAACCAAGCTGTCCTCTTGGTCAGGCCTCCAGGGAGAGCTGTAGCATTTTGCAGTATTTTGCCTGGCAACATCTGAATGTTTGCTCTTTTGCTTCCAGCAAATACAGCGGGCAGGAGAGAGGAGACCCTATAAGGTGGAAACTAAACTTTATAAAAATTCAGAAGACAGTTGTATTCCTTCACACACTGCTTTATTCATTCTCTTCTGCTATCAGTATGTGCTATAGATAATATAGAAGAAAAGGACCCACAAATATTTAGTCTCCATCTGCCTCACTGAAGGCTTTCTAAGCGTTAACTAGGATTTGCAACCCAAGTCCCCTCTCATATTCCTATCTTCATTAGTTACCAGACTAAATAGAATTCCTCCATATTTCGGTCCTTCAACCAACAACCAAATAGCTGCTTCAAGAAACAAAATCGTACTAAATGAACAAAGAACCCAGTTTTATTACACCAAAACACAAACCCTCTTCATTTCACACCATAACCTTTCTGCCACTAGGGACACTCTTAACTCATCTTCTCCCTCAGGCAAGGAAGCAAAGGTGTGATTTAATTTGATGTCACCTCCTCATGTTAAAGAAATATCCTAATTTCAACATGACTGACCCCCCCCCCCACCTCGACACCATTTTGGTGATTTTGTGAAATCATATTTGCCTCCTTGTCACAAAGTTTGATGCCAGATTACCAACATATTTATTCCTATAAATATGATGAACAATTACTTTCCGTCTCCTAAATTGTGTGTTCTGCATATATATACATATATACGGAGATTGCATCCCCCTTTAGAGTTTCACTCCATGGTTTTGAAAAACACAGACTGGGACACATGTTGCCTCCAACATAATTGTCCCCAATATCAAGTAAGCCTCAGCAATTATAGGTGGCCTATTGTTGTAGTTGCTAGCCATGAAGTCATGTCTGACCCATCACAACCCCATGGATAACATTCCTCCAGGCCTTCTTGTCCTCCACCATCCCCCGGAGTCCACTCAAACTCACACCAACTGCTTCAGTGACTCCATCTAGCCACCTCATTCTCTGCCGTCCCCTTCTTATTTTGCCATCTATTGTTCCCAGCGTCAGGCTCTTCTCCAGGGAGTCCTTCCTTCTCATTAGGTGGCTGAAGAATTTGAGTTTCATCTTCAGGATCTGGCCTTCTAAAGAGCAGTCAGGGTTGATCTCCTCAAGGACTGACTGATTTGATCGCCTTGTGGTCCAAGGGACTTGCAGGAATCTCCTCCAGCACCACAATTCAAAGGCCTCAATCCTTCGGTGCTCAGTCTTCCTTATGGATCAACTTTCACAGCCATACATTGCAAAGGTGGCCTATAAATATATGTAAATATATACATATCTCCACCTCAGAGATTCATCCATTGGCCAACTCATCAGAAAGAAGTTAGAGTCTGAGTTCAGAAAACATACATGCTGAGGGGGGGGGGGTGTTTGCCTGAACCATTGTTGTCTGAAATCAGAATCATGGTTTCCACAATTCTGGATTGAACTACCATAGAGTCTTCTGGAAAGAATGGCAACTGCAGGAGCTACTCCATCCATCCAGTCTCTATATGCAGACCAATGAGGAAAAGGCAGGTGACATAGGAAGGGAGTGATGCACTTTGGGTTCAATTTCAGGTGCAGTGGCTAATGGGATGCATGCTAACAGTGGGAAGAATGAGCAGGAGGGATGGAAACCATGATAAAGTAGAAACCACTTGTTTATCTGTCAGATAGATCATGGTAAAAAAACAAAACCATGAACCATGGTAACCTACAGGCTTGCTTGTTGTGTTGTGTAAATGCAGTCCAAGTGTACTAAGCTGGACCTGACAAGGATCATTCACATATGATTAGAGCTCCTGACTCTGAGCAACCTATTCCTGTCTGACTGTCCATACATAGTCTAACATCTGAAAGTCTGGAAAGCAGGGTTCCTGACTGAGCCAGCATGCACAGCCCAGCTTTTCAAGGGAGCTTGTGTGTTTCTTTTATCCAAGGGTATATGCAAATTCAGGGACACATTCCTGTTTAAACTAGTAGTTCTCTGCCCCTGCACCAGTTACATGACCCCATTTGCCTAGCTACAGTCAATCACTGCCCAAATCCAAAGAGGAAAATGAACTTGTGGGCTCCATTTGTTTTTCTTCTAGCTATCTTCCAAGGTCATTTGTCTCCTTTCAAATACAGAACACAGTTCCACAAAAGGGGCTCAAGCAGAGGACTAAAATCTCTTTCTTTCCAGGTGTCCAATCAGAGGTCCAATTAGTGCAGTCTGGAGGAAGTGTCAGAAGGCCTGAAGAATCCTTCCAACTTTCCTGTCAAGCTTCTGGGTTCACTTTCTGCAGCCACCCCATTCACAGATCTCCTTGTCTTCAACATCATATAAATGGCCAATGTTGGACATCTCAATATTTTTCCCTTCCTTACTAGGAGGAACCACTTGGAATTGGAGAAATACAGCAGTGCCTCCATCCTTCTTTCCCTGCAACCCAGAACTTCTCCTAGAGGGGGACTTAGCCAGTGTGAAAAGAAGTGTGTCAGGTTAAGTTTATTAAATGAAAAAACAAATATGTAATACAGAACAATAATAGTCACTAAACATTAACATTCCTCTATCCCATCCATTGTTTCATCAGTTCTTAGTCATGAACACAGGATAATATTGTAGATTGTGTTCAAATAGATGGTAGCCCAAAGTGACCCTAAAAGTTGACCCATAGCTTCTCATCAATAATCACCACAGAATAAACATAATAGGACCCTTTGATTTGCTTTCTAATTCTTTCTTCTAATTAGTTGTTCTCTGTTGTTCAGCTCAGGTCTGCATATGATAATGTAGCATTTGGGGGAAAAGATGCAAGTTAGTAACCCAGCACTGGAGGCCAAGATTGAGAAGATCTCCACAGCTATCATGTACTTCCCCTTGGTGCTCAGATAGCTTGGAACAAAAGACAACCAAACACTGCAAAAGATCACCATACTAAAGGTGATGAACTTGGCTTCATTGAAGCTATCAGGCAACTTCCTAGCCAGAAAAGCCACAGTGAAGCTGATGAAGGACAGAAGCCCCATGTAGCCCAGGACAGTGTAAAACATAACAACTGAGCCTTCATTACATAATACTATGATTTCTTCATGCATTGACCATATGTCCAAATCTGGGAATGGAGCAGAGGTTCCAAGCCAGATGGCACAAATGCCAGCTTGGATGAGGGAACAGGAAAGAACAATGGAGTTGGCCAGTCTTTTCCCCACCCATTTTCTCATATTGGACCCTGGTTTGGTGGCCATGAAAGCGACCACCACAGTGATGGTTTTGGCCAACACACAAGACACAGCCATGGAGAAGATAATGCCAAAAGCAGATTGCCGAAGAAAGCAGGTCAGTTTCCCTGGTTGTCCAAGGAAGAGCAAAGAACAGAGGAAGCAGAGTAGGAGGGAGATGAGGAGAGTGTAGGTGAGGTCCCTGTTGTTGGCTTTAACAATGGGGGTATCTTTGTACTTCAAAAAGATTCCTAGCACCAAGGCTGTAATCAGGGCCAAGGAAACAGCAGCTGAGGTTAAACTGATTCCTAAAGGTTCTTCATAAGAAAGAAAGTGTATAGACTTTGGGATGCACTGATCATGATTCTTGCTTGGATAGTGATCTTCTAGGCAGTTGAAACAGTCAGCCATGTCTGTAAAATAGAAAATGGTACTATTTCAGGACCATTTCATGTGCGATTATGAGAAAGAAAATCTAGAACTCCTCTATGTAGCAGTTATTGCTTAAGGTGGTCCCAGGGTGGAATTTAGGTTCTAAAGGCCATCACTGTTCACTAGAATGGAATTCAAAGCCAGGGAGATTCCTTAGTTCAAGACCTGGCAAAGCAGAAGGGAATCCCTGTGACTCAGTGTTAGAACACATGCATGGCACTCAGAAGGATGTGGGTTGGTTCCCCAGCATCTCCAATGGGAAGGTCCACAGCCAATCAGTGTTGACAATATTGGGTTAGATGGCCTGAGGGTCTGTTCCTATGTAAGGGAGGGACAGAAGTTCTACAGCAGATTGTTTGTTTGTTGAACCCTTTTCAAGACTTCTCTTTTTCCTTTTGAATGATATCTCTCCCAGTGGAAGAACTGCAGGACTGTTGTACATTCCCCCTGGGTATTAGTGGGTGGTGGAGCTTTGGTGTCCTGCATCTCCTGATCCATCTCTGATGACAGAGAAGCAAGGGTCTCACACATTTCTACACAGACTAGAAATGGGAATCTGAGTTTGACTCCCTCTTTGAAGGGCAGAGCTCTCCCCACACAGCATCTGGAGGGGTTAGGGAAAGATAGGAGTAACCTTCTAGTCACAAGGCACTCTTCCAGAGCCATTACAATTGCCTAAATTTCTAAGTTGCCTAAGTTTGCCCATTGGACTTCTTATAAAGATTGTTGCAAAATTTGCAAGACAGATTTTAACCTTCTGAATTAATCCTTTTAAAGCAAGTTTCTCTCTTTGTGTGCCTCTCTCACACACATAGACACACAAGCATACCCCATACAAAGAACTATACTTGTTACACGATTGAGAACTTTGATATTTGCTATTTTCAATACAAAATGGCCCTTGTCACAACTTTCAAACCCATGTGCAGATCCATGCATCATTATTCACAAGCTCAAAGTATTCTCAGCTCAAAAGTGTACCAAGAAATGCTTGCAAAGTCCTGGTTTGATAGAAAACACATGTGCATATTCATGTTAAAATGGCATTTATCATTTTGGATTTTTAATTATAAAAACATACACTTATGAGGGTGGAAAGAAGTTGCCTCATGGATGAACACATGGAAAGGTTATATGGATTAAGAATAGAATAGGGATAGAGATAACTCATCTCTAGTTAATGCAGAGGTAGGAATCACTGGGAGAAAAAGCATGTCCTCAAACATACCAAAATATGTATCAAGATTTAAAAATATGTCCAATAGATACAAACATTTAAATTTACATAACCACAGAGCAGAATCTGAATTTTTTAAAGCCAATATCTGAAATCTATGAAGAAAAAGAAGAAAAGAAACACTTGCCTTTGAAAGTCAGCCCTACCTTTACCATGCTAACAAATACAGATTTTCAAATATAGAAAATCAAACAACTTCTCAGCAGGAAAATATTGTCCCTAACTTGTGGGTTTCTGCATTCATTCAGACTTTTGACGTACCCATATTCAGTAGTAACTTCAATTCTGCTTTGAATTATAAATAAATGAAGGTGGAAGATTGGCTGCATTTGTATGGCTTACCAGTTTCATTTGAAATCTTCCCTTCAGGGCACTGGTCACAATCGTAGCAGCAAAATTTCTTCCCTTCCTTACTTTTCTTCTGACTACCAGGTTGGCAATGCTCATTACACAGAGAAAGGGGCAGTGCCTGTGTACAAATAGGAATGTTTTTAGAGCAGGAGCATTTAGAATGAGATTTTATTCAAGTAATATGGAATTTGGTGTGGGATAATGTATACCATTCTGCATGCAGCTATTACTTTCTGATTACAGCAGGCTTTGTTTTGTTTTGTTTTTCAATCTACTGGTTGGTTGAAGACAATTTTAAGGAAAAAGACATCAACTACTCAACCCAGCCCAGAATCCTCAAAAAATGAGACGATCCTTATTCTTGCATCCATTGAAGAATTTTCACTGATCCCTTCACAGACTTACTTGCCAAAACATAAGAAAAGCCATGCTCATTCTGATCAAAAGGCTATCTGGTCCATTATTCCTTTCCAACAGTGCCCAATCAGATGTGTGTGGGGAGCCCTCAAGCCACACTGGGGTGCAATAGCATTCTCCCATTCATATTCCACAGGTATTTTTACACACACCTATGATGGTGCCAGTAAAGCAGCAAAGGCAACTTCCACAACAACACTGGAAGGACCATGCCAGGTCACACCAAGGGTCTCTCTAGTGTAGTATTTTGTTCATACAGTGGCCTTTCAGCTGCCCATGAGAAATCTACAAGCAAGATCTGAGTGAAACAGCCCCTGATCCCATTCATACTCCCAAGCAACTGGCACATATGTTGCCAGTGACACTGGAGCTTTTGTGTAGCCATATTTCATGTAGCTATCATGACAGTAGCTGTTGATAGCCTTCTTCTCCATGAGTCTGTCCAGTCTCCACCTGAAATTGTGCAAATTGGTTTCCTTTGCTACATCTTCCAACCTACAAATCACCCATCCAGAGCACCTTATAATTCACACCTGGTTAAAACCTCCATGCCACACAATCATTTCCTCATGGATGATGAAGTCTTCTCCTCCAAGAACATCAGGATCCAGCCTTCCAACTTTCATTCTCTGGAAGGAGGTATTGGGGAATGTGACCATATTCACGATGTCAAATCCACCTCCCATTTCCCTTTCATCATTAAAGGACACTGTTTCTCCAACTGAGTTATTAAACAAAACACTGTGAAGAAATGGGTGAAGCTAATTGAAAGAGAAAATGGAGGAAAAGGCACAATGACATATTGGAATATTCATAGTGATATTAACAAACACATTTCACTGTTGATACACAGGTTGATGTTGTTATTATGGGCCATCAAGTCAGATTCAACTTGTGGTAACCCTATGAATGAAAGTCCTCCAACCTTTCTTATGACATCCCTGCTGAATGTGGTTTCTTTGGTGTAGTCCATCCATCTCTTTGGTCTTCCTCTTCTTCTTCTGCCTTTGACTTTCCCTAGCATGAATACCTTCTCCAGTGAATCTTGCCTTTTCATGATGTGCGCAAAGTATAACAGATTAATTGCTAGTGCATTTGTGGATATGTTATAAGGTATTATTATCATGATACCCATGGTAAAGCCTTTTTTTTTCCTGCAATAACCAAGGTCCTTCATTATCTTTTTTTTTCTTTTTTTGCATGTTACTTTTTCTTTGTTTTTTTCCTTTTATATATAACACTAAAAATAATTTAAAAATGTGTACCACAACACTAATTAATGGATAACATGGGATGCTGCTTAACCTTGTATTGATTTGTTCTGGGCTATCAGAATTTCACATTTAATTTGCTTGGGATACATTACCTGCCAAGGGTGCGGGGCTTGAATTTCAATACTTCTGCTACCCACCATTGCTCTGTGCTTTGTTCTAGCTGAATCCATGATGTGTAAAGCATGTGCTATGGCGTAGACTGCATTATAGATACTGTAGCTGTGGCCACTGATGTCCATTTCAAAAAAGGTCCTAGGAAGGGTCTCCAGCCTCTCCTCCCCGGTACATATTCCATCAATTTCTGTTGACATCTGGGGGGTTAACCCATCACAGTTGAATGCTTGCTGCCAGAATTCCTTGAGAAAACCATCCCCTTCAGTCCAGCCAGGTTTTATGTTCTGAAGGAATTGGTGGAATCCTAGAAGCTCCCTGGAATGTATCACGAAAGAAAGGGCTCCCTGGAACAATTCTAAATTTGCATTCTTTTCAAGGCTCGATAATGTGAAATCAACCTGGGCTGTCATAATCCATACCCTTCCACAGGAAATGGTACCTCTTAGGAACATAAACATATTCAGTGCTACTATAGTTCTAGACTCTCCATAGAGGATGAATGTGCTGGTGTTACTCTCTGTGAAAGATGTAGAAAGAATTCTTGCTGCACTGCCAATGTCATCCAAAGAATTCAAATGGGATCGTTGTGGGATGCTCCTTGTGAAAGCCGAACAGATTTTATTCTGGGATAGCAATGGCTCCAGAGCTTGCACAAAATGTTCACCACTGTCATCATCCACAACGTAAAGCCCGACCCACAACCATCCAAAATGTTTAAGCAACCTGATAATCCCCATATACTGAAGGGCTTCATTGGGAGCCATACGATAAAAGGAAGAGAATTTGGCCCTCTCTCTCTCCTTTGCAACAATTGAGCCATATGTGAGCTGAAGGAAGAAGAAAGCAGATATTGTCTAATGCAATGAATGCTTGCTCAAAAACTGGCACATTCCATGAGAATTAGGATGTACTATGTGCATTTTACTGGGAATAATATCCTTTAAACTCAATAGGCCTTAATTCTGAGCAGGTGTGTTCAAGGACTGCACAGTTAAAGGCCAGGGTCTTCTGAGGAATATTATTGAAGATGGCTTCTTGAGTCTTCATGGTTATTTATTTATTTTTATTTATTTAAAAATTTTATATGCCAAGCCAATGCTAAAAATCTATAGGACTTTTGAAAAAAAAAAAAAAAAAAAACCAAGGCAAACCATAACAAAAAACACACTGCATCCAATAAATAATGATAAGAAAAAGAATTAACTATTAAAATATTGGGAAAATAAAAAAGTCTTTACCTGACACCGAAAAGAATAAAATGACAGTTATACATCTTGGACTCATTTTGCAATTTCTGATGATTTTTTTAGTGCAGTTGTGCCATTCCAAAATAACAGGTTTAAAATAAGATTTCATTTCAACCATCAATGTTTGTTTGAAGTTGAGATCTCTTGACTTGAAATTCACTATCTTTCAAAAACTAAAATTGAGATCAAGTGTATGTGCCACATTTGTATCTGTGCAGCTGGGATTTATTTCTATATTTATAGGATTTATCTCATCTTAACATATATAGCCTCTGATTAGTTTACAATATACAAATATAAATAATCAAAAGGACTAGAAAAGCTGCATGAAAAAGCCAGTAAATACATCTTTTAAAAGTCAGTAAAGCCAACAACTGTAAATTAGGATCAACTGCACCAGCAGAGGAAAAAGAAAATCGTCAAAAAGGGGCCAGATGAATTTATCTGGGGATGGAGTTGCACAGTTGATGTGTCACCACCAAAAATTGTGCATCATTTTCTCCATTGTGCTTCATTAATGCACAATAGGATTTGCCAGTGTAGGGTGTAACATTGACCACTACTATAAATTAATTTAAAGTGGGATTAGAACTATTCATGAAGGGTAAGGAGAAAGTTCCTCCTTCCATTCTTGCTTGAAACTCCCTCTGCAAAAGATCTTTGTGAAACTTTCCAAGGAGATTCCTTTATGTTTCATGGTTTCTCGCTTTGGTTGAGAGAAAGGCAAGAATTTGGAAGGGAACCATTCTCTTCGACCGCCTGGGGCTTTGGTCTCAAGAATGTCTTATGTTGCCCTGCTCACATTTCTTTACCAGTAGTATGAGAATGTGTGAATGTGTAGAAATTCACAGGCTACAATAAAATTCTGAAAAAAGAGGGATTTGTTTGTATTAAAAATTGTTCACATATGTTGTTCCTAACCAATGACCAAAAAATGATCCAAGACAGGAGGGTGATAAAACTTTTTGGTTCAAACAAGCTTTTGGTTAATTTTAATTGCATTTTGTCATTGATTATTTATTTAATTTGGGTTGTTAATTCATCTGGTTGCATTTGGTCATGTTGTATACAGTTTCATGCATACATACATACATAAATGTGGGATGTTTTAACAATTTGCTAATTTTATTGTTTTTAATCTGTTTTATTGATTGTAGTTATATTCTGGCTTCAGCATTTGTAAGCTGCCCAGAGAAACATCAAGTTATGGGGCAGGAATAAATAAATAAGCAAACCATAACTAAATTCCATATTTTCTTCACCCTCATGCTGAACTGTAAAATAGCTCCCCAGATTACACAACGATTACTTTCATAATTTCTAAAAGGACCACATGAACACTTCCCACCTGTGGAATCTTGTAGAGACTTAAGAGGTCTGCCATGCGAAAGGAAACATCAGTGCTCAGCCCTCCAATTATGGCCATTACATTCTTCTCACCACCACATTTGTAGTTGGGAACAAATTTATACAACTTGAAAAGCAGGTCCAGAGTGGTACGATAGGTCATCTGGTCATCATAGTAGTTATCATAGATGTGGAACCCAAGTGTGATGTTGGGTAAAAGCTTGGGGTTCCCATTGATCTCCCTTACAGCAAACACCAAGGTGAGAATATTCTGGTACAGTTTTGGTAACAGACTGTAAAGAAAGTAACATGCTCTTTCAGAGAGGAGTTCGTCAGTGTACAAAAATATATTGGTGCAAGGCAGGTTTATTCTGGGTATAGCCAGTTTACTTGCTTCAGTGCTGGAATATTTTTTTTCCTGAAGTTTCTGGGGTTCTTGAAAGAACTTTTTCCCCTAAAACCTAGAGGAAAAGTATAGTGCATCTATAATCTGCACTGTAGTTTAATAATGCAACTAAAAAACTTAACTTCAAAAATGCATGAATGCACGGTTTCCAGTTCAAAAAGGAAGACTTGTAAGAACTCAGTGCAAAAGAGAACAAGGCACACCAATCAAATCTTAAATGACTCAGTCACTTGTTGCTAACTGCTCAAAGATCAACTTTTGTTATTTAAATACAGAATACATCAGTGCAACTGAGAATTATACAAAGAGCATAATCCTCTGGACTGAAGCCTCACTGCCCAGAAACCCTGGAGCTTGGAGGTTTCTGAGGTCCTTCTGTCTGATGGATTGAAGCCAGCAGGGCAAGAAGAGTTATGGAAGCCATATTCACCTCTTCCACTCAATGCTGGTTTTAGCAAGTTGGCCTTCTCAGCCCACATGGCAAGGGAACATCAGAGAGGAAGGGGAGGAGGCTGCAGAGCATTCAAGAGAACTCATATATTGGTCTATTGGGTCCCCCCCCCACTCCCCACCCACCAGAACAGCTTCTTTCTCTCCTTCCATGGTCAATTTTTGAACCTCAGATAGGTAGCCAATGCAATTCCCTGCATGTCTACTGCAAAGGGCTGGGGTTGGACACTGGATTTTTCCTCTCCCACTGTCTACAAACTAGGAAGGGATTTCTCAAGCCATCCTATGGTCCCCAGGATTCCTCTTTTCATACTTCCAAATAATATGAGAGGATAAAATCCAGAGCTAGGAGGTTCTTCTCATTCAATCCTGAAGCTCATTCCAACTAGTGTCTGTATCAGATTGTAAGCTATGCTTTATTTTCATGCTCATTTGTTGTGCTTCCTTCATGCCCTGTAGCCAAAGCTCTTTTCTCTTGAAAATTCAGACATGATTTCCATATATAAGCATCAAGCGTACACATTTTTGAAATTGTGATGTTTTCCCCATTAAGTGTGCTTTATTTTAAAAGCACACATTTCCACATCTCTCAGATGAAGACATTTTTCAAATACATTTTATCTGTTTGTTCATTCATTCCACAACTCACTTCACAAGCTTTGAAATGCACAATCTTCAACTACAAATCACATTTGGGAGATGCAAACCTAGTGACCATCTAGAATGCTTCTGTGATTGGCCAATGCCCAATAGAGTCCATAAAATGCCTCAAAAACTGTGTTTTACTGGGTCATCCGGCACAGTATTGTCTGAATGTTAGCAGCTCTCCAGTTTTTCTAGCAGAAACTTTTTCAGACCCATCCAGTATTTCGGACGTTCTGCATGCCAAGCAGTGGGTCACAGTCCTTGCAAAATGAACACCCTAACACTAACCCATTTCTACTGAGAAAGCACTTAAGAGAGGAAGAGTGCCCTTGGTATAGACCAAGCCAACGTGAAATAAGTTCCATGATCATAGAGCAGATTTCTTTTCTATTAAAAGAAACAAAAATCCTTACAGTGGAACCTTGGGAAATTCTTCAGAAGGATGTTTCTTAAATTCTAACCCAGCAAAATGGTAAATTATATGAGAAGCAATCCCACCAATGATAATGGACCCTGACTGATACCACTCATGTGGAACAGGGATGGATGCATGTGGGAAGCATTTCATAGCATGAACTTGGCATACCCTGTAGGGCAACTGAAGCAACAGCAATGCCATCAGAACCCCTGGCATCCTTTTCTCCAGATGTGAGTCCTCTTCTGGCTATCCACTATCATTTGGTTTAAACTGGGTACACTGGGCAGCGTTGGACTCCACTAAAACAAATCCCAAAGAGAAAGTTCTCGGTCTTATTTTTAGTAGCAGTAGAGTTACAATTGTATGCTTTGAATGCCTACCAAAAGGACTGCCAAACTTCCAGTTTCAAGTTTTGGCCTCTAAAATGAAAAAGGGAGAGAGTCAGACTGAACTCTCAGCTTTCAATCCTACAGGGGAGGTTATAACAACTTTCAGTCCTGATTATTGTGTTTGTTCAGTCCTTCTGCTGAGCTCTGGCCCAGTGAACAAACTACAAATAATTGCATAAGGGAGGGGGAACATAATTACCTCTGCCCACTCAGGAACCTGAAAGACATCACTGGGGATTAAATACGTTTTCCCCTCTGCCTGTTGCAACACACCTCCACTGTTCCATGGTGGGACAAAGTTGTGCATCGGCTCCAGATGTCCATGAAAGGAAAATAACTGAAGAGTTAACACATAAGTAATCTCATATTACTCTGGCCTGATGTGATGCTTGAATTTCTTATTTCACATTCTAATTTTATGTAATACTTAGTGGATACTCTCCCAGTGTCACTGCCCTCTTGGAGGCAGTGTAGGGGTGGGTAGCAGAGATGGCTGGAGGAATTGGTGGGTTTCTATGAAACATAGCACTTCAGGAGTTGTGTTTCTGTTTCCCACCAAATGATGTATTGTCATCTGAAGGGGATCCTGGGATAAAAATGCACCACCATTCATCCCAACCCTCCAATTTTATTTGGGTACCTTTTTGCCCATCTTTAACAAAGGAACAGGTTTGTCGGTATGCATCTGGAATTATACATGGCATTGTATCCATTCATCTTTGAGGAAAGGCCTTGAAAGGACTATGGAAATATTCAGTGATAATGATGGTAGTGGAGATAAAAAGTTCATTTAAGACCAGTATTAAAAGTATCACACTTTGGCTTAAGTCCACAAAGCCACGAATTTGGAAGCTAAGGTCCAATATAAACACACTAAAAATGATGTGTCATGGAGATAAGCAAAATGGTTTTCTTTACTCATTGCACCTAAGCACTGTCCCAATTTGGATCAGGACCATAGCACTCCAAGATCAGGGAAATGCTTTCCTCACCCATGTTTGTTCAGAAATCCCCCCATGGGGGAGGAGAAAAGAAGGGAGAAATTTCTACTGTGGAGAAGGGAGGCTTTTCTTCTTTTAGCTTGGGATCAATGTTAGGGGTGGAGACCCTTCAAAGTCCCTCAGTTCAGCTTCCTGGACTCCAGCCTGCTTTCTCACAGCCATGAGTGCAAGCAGATGCAGGGAACATCAACTATCTGCATGTCATTCTGCAGGAATTGAGTGCCATGCAAACTTGTGGCATGAGTCTATGGACGGTTGTCAAAACCCTACTTACAACTTCCCACATTGGTGTGTGCAAGAGAAAGAGAGAGGATTTCAAGACAACAGTGGGTGGGGAAAGTGTTACACACACAGCCTCCTGGAGTGTTGTGATTCTGGTCCAGATTAGGCCCAACCAGAGAAAACTCCACTCTGCCTTTGTATCTGAAAATTTAGTTACATTTAGTGATGCTTGAAGGCCAACATCTTAATTGACATGTCCCATGATTAATTATGAAGTTATGCAGTGCTTAAAAGTGATTCTTCTTCTAACAACCTTTAACCTTGTTTTTTTTCCAAATACATGTGGGGATCAATGATGGTGATCCTCATTCTTTTCTTTCCTTATGAAGTGTCTGAGCTTTATTGTATTACAGTCCAGAACATCTGGAAGACACCAGATGCTCCAGTTTTGAGAGGTTTGGTCCAATACATCCCACCAGCTATGGATGTCATTGATCCGTCCAGGTGTGGGTCAACTTACAGGAGGTTCCTGTACCAATATGGTAAGGCTCAGCTGCTTCAGAAGAAAAAATGGAGACGTATTTGCTGGATTCAGGGGAAATGTATCAGAGATGAGTTGAGGTTTTCAACCTCCCAGATGGCTGAGAAAGACTCCACTCCTATTCTCTCTCTGTGAAAGAAGGAGAGGCAAGCTCTGAGGGCTTCCATCATTCCTAACCTCCTGGAAGGAACCTGACACTTGGCAAGAACTGTCTAGAATCTGACCAATAAGGGTGGGTGAACCTGTCTAGTCCATTTCCATGGAATTCTTCATGTCTCACTTCTAAAACTGGTTCCAGGCAGACAGTTTTGTCCTTGTATTGTTTTACAATTTTTAAAGGAAAAAAAATCCTTTAAGCCTAGCTAAAACCTGCCTTTTTACCATATTCTGTCCCATGTACGCACTGACACACTGGAAGAAATGTCTAACATCTCCAGATCTTGGGCAATGTAGAGACTGAAAGGGAGAAAGCTTGCCAAAGGTCTGTGTTGCTCTTTTATCACCAGGTGTATGTAAATGCAGAGACAACTTCCTCTTTAAACCAGTCAAGAAGGGTCTCTTCCTCCAGAGGAAGAACCCTTGAATCCTTGTGACCACTCGGAGTAATGTTTCTCTCAACTCATTTGAAAAAAATGAACTTCTGGGTTCAGTTTGTTTTCTTCTCAGCAACCATCCAAGGTAACTTTTTCTTCCCCACTGGCAAGCAGAAGCCAGTTTGGAGCCAGGGCCCAGAGTGAAGGCAAAATCTCTCTCTCTTTCCAGGTGTTCAATCAGAAATCCAGCTGGAAGAGACTGGTGGAAACATCCAAAGGCCTGGAGAGGCCCTCCTCCTCTCTTGCCGGGTCTCTGGGTTTGCTTTCAGTGACTACAGCATGAACTGGGTGCGGCAGGCTCCTGGGAAGGGTCTGGAATGGGTTGCCCATATACGCTACGATGGGAGCTATATCATCTATGCAGACTCTGTGAAAGGGCGGTTCACTGTCTCCAGGGAGAACCATTCCAGCATGCTCTTCCTGCAAATGAAGAATCTGAAACCTGATGAGACGGCTGTGTACTACTGTGCAAGGCACTTAAGGGGCAAGGGCACAGTGATTTCCTTCTGTGCAAATACTAACCACAGCATTGCTTCTCCCTGTCATCTCAAACATTAATCTTTGCAAGAGGCAAACTATATAGTCCTATCCTGGGATACTTGAAAAATTGCAGTAGGTAAAATTAGATTGAAGTTCCATGACTCTGGCATGACCTTTTACTGCAAACTGGGTTTTTCCAGAATTGGTTTCTGCAGAATTTTGGACTATTTATTTTACCTTTTTAAAAAATTTCAGAGAATTCTGCAGAGCTTTAGTTGTGCAAGAGTATAAAGAAAAACAGATGATGGACTGTTTTCACTGATACATGAAAGTGTGAAACTGTGTGTGTTGGGGGTGGGCAGGATTTTCCCCATTTCACTTTTTTTCACTTGTGGGAACATTCCACATTGTAGGACATGGAATAATGAACTTAAGATACAGTACACCAGGTGCAGGCTAGACACAAGGAAGAATTTCCTGACCGTGAGAGCAGGACAACATTGGAACCAGCTGCCAAGAGAGGTGGCTCACTCTTCCACATCAGATGCATTCAAGAAACAATTGGACAGTTATCTGATCAGGAGGATGCAACTGGCATCCTGCACTAGCAGAGGGTTCAATTCAGAGGACTTCCTGGCCCCTTCCAACCCAGCTGTTCTGTGAATCCATGAAAACATGGATTCACAAGAATATGCAAGGATCAAGACCTGCAGTTTTGGAGACCCTCAGAAAATCCAGACTATTCTTGGAGCTCCTTCCAGATTCTGAAATGTGTCCAGCATGATCTCTTTAGGGGTGTCAATCCCTGAAATTTTTACCCAGTTCTTCCAATAGAAATGTTGCTGACAGTTCAATGTTTAAAAGAATATTTATTTTAAAATGCATACATCACAAGAAATAATCAGAAATAAAAGGCCTTGGATTTGTGAACCTCAGCTTGGGTCTAGTGACAAATCAAAGCAGGAAAACTGAAAAATTAGCAGCCATTTTCTGCAGTACCAGACTGGGATCCAAGTAGAAACTGGGAGTGGGTGCATGTCTCCAATGCATACAAACCAGTACATATCAACAACAAAATCCTCCCCACTTCTGCCAGTTGATACCCTCTGAGATCACTGCAGGAAGGAAGCTCTCTCAGCCCCAGTCTTCCTTTCCATTCATGGTCTACACTATGGTGAATAAAGACTGATCTAGGTGGAAGCAGCATTCTTGGAGGTGGCTCAGTTGAGATTGAAGCATTTCCTATGTCCATTGACATAGATTTCACCTACCCCGAAACCCAGTAAAGTTGGCTGTTGGGACACTGATAACAGAAGCACTGGAGCAGTGATCTTTTTCCTGTAACCCATCTGGAAAGCTGGACTGCAAGAAGAAGGGACTGAAGCTTCCTAGGACACACTTGTGCAACAGATGGAGGATGCATGAGTTGCTTATCCCTAAATCATGAGGATAAATATGAACACGTAATGTACTTGCTTAGCACATGACAGAATTAATTGGAATGCTGTAAACATAGTCCAATCAGACAGCTAAAGCAAACCTACTGACTTCCACTACAGGGAAATTCATTTAACAAGACCCTTTGATTTTTTTTTTTTTTTTTTAAAGAAACCTCTTTCTCCCTGTTAGCTGTTCCTTATTGTTCAACTCAGGCCTTAACAAAATTATGTAACATTTGGGGGAAAAGATACAGCCCAGTAACCCACCGCCTGAGGTCAAGATGGAGAAGATCTCCACAGCCACCACATATTTGCCCTTGGTGCTCAAGTAGGTAGGAACAAAGGACAGCCAAACACTACAAAAGACCAGCATGCTGAAGGTGATGAACTTGGCTTCATTGAAACTGTCTGGCAACTTCCTAGCTAGAAAAGCCACAGTGAAACTAATGATGGCCAGAAGTCCCATGTAGCCCAGGAGGCAGTAAAACATGATGAGAGACCCTTCGTTACATTCTGCTACAATCTCTCCAGGGACTGAGTGCATGTCCAAATCTGGGAATGGGGCAGAGGTTCCAAGCCAGATGGCACAAAGCAAGGCTTGCATGAGAGAACAAGAAAGAACAATGGAGGTGGCCAGTCTTTTCCCCACCCACTTCCTCATATTGGAGCCTGGTTTGGTGGCCATGAATGCTACAACTACAGTGATAGTTTTGGCCAACACACAAGACACAGCAATAGAGAAAATGATACCAAAAGCTGACTGTCTGAGAATACATGTTAGCTTCCTTGGCTTTCCAAGAAAGAGCAAAGAACAGAGGAAGCAGAGCAGGAGGGAGATGAGGAGAGTGTAGGTGAGGTCCCGGTTGTTGGCTTTGACGATGGGGGTGTCTCTATGCTTAATAAATGTTCGCAGTACCAAAATTGTCATCAGCGATAACAGAGCAGCAAGTGAGACTAAGCTAATTGTTAGGGAATTCTCATAAGACAGAAAGGTTGTAAGTTTGGGGATGCACCTGTCTCGCTTCTTGTTTGGATATTCAGTTTCTGGACACTTGATGCAGTTGTCCATGTCTGGGGGGGGAAAAGTACAATGAGTACATCTTTCTGTGCTAATGCTTCTGTAAACTGATGAGGTGCTAATGCCTTTCTGTGACTTTCTAATGACTTTCTTTCTGTGCTAATGACTCTGTAAACTGATAAGGTGCTTGTTACTACCTCTCCTTTGGGGTTGCTTTTTTCAGTTCCGGAAGGCATTTTTCAGTTCTGAAAGGAAATTGCTCTTTCTTTGTATCACCCATAGTTTCATTGTTAGCATTTCTCAGGCATTAGGAGTCTTTAAAACATATTTTAAGTAATATTACAGTGAATTTCCACATGGAGGCTGACTGGGCTCATGGAATTTGCATATCTCTTAATCAGTCCCCATCATGGAGTCTCTAGTTTTTCAATACAACATATTCTGTACTGTAATTTATATACATGTAGTCCTACAGGCTTGTCCTACTAAGATGTGGTCACAAAGTGCCTAGGCCAGAAAGATCCCAAACTGCAACCTCATTCCTTACAGGTTTTTTTCCTATAAACCTAAACATTCCCATTGCCACAGAGGTACCTAGAATTGCCATAGGGATCGCTCTGTAAGGTGCTAAGATCCCAGGCTAAATCCTTCAGCAAACAGAATAACAATCCATTAAGAGGGAGCTTTGCTGTTATTTTTTTTTCAATTAGTATTCTATACTACTGTTATGCAGAGGAAAATCAACAGGATAGTCATTGTAATGCAGATTTTCTTTTCATACAAGGCCTCTAGAAGTATTAAACCATATGAGGAGGGCTATCTCTGCAGTGGCGCCAGGCCCAATATTTGCCCAATATTTAAATATTTTAACTTGGTTTTAACATTATTATGCACAGCTATGCTTTGTTATGCTAATCCTGTTGTATTTTGTTGTAATTATTTATTGTTTGATTGTTTATGGTTTGTAAGCCTTCCTGAGACATTTCGTATAGAACAGAATATAATATTGGTAATAAATAAATAAATAAATGTCCTATACTTGCTGAGAGCTGAAAGACATTCTTACATTAATTGGGGGGGAATGTGGAAGAATGTTTTCTTTTTGCCCTTATACCAGGGGTCCTCAAACTTTTTCTAAAGGGGACCAGTTGACAGGTGCCAGGGGTGGGCGCAGTGCCGGCAAGTGGGGTGCAGGCTGGTGAGGGAGTGAGGCGCATGTGCATGTGACATGAGACGGGGGGGGCACAGCGCCAGCTTGGTCACAAGATCATTTTCTCTAAGCAAGTCCAAAACAATCTCCTTGTGAGCAAGCCGCGTGCCCATGCACGCACGCCCCCAACAAGTGCAAAACCTGTGGGGCAGGCCAGTCAAATGGGCATGGCAGGCCAGTTCCGGCCCATGGGCCTTAGTTTGAGGACCAATGCCTTATACCTTTCCTGAGATAATTTTGTTGCAGTCAAACATGACTCTAAATTTAAATTATGCTTACTCGAGTTGAAGTGTCCCTAACTTTTTTGAAAAGCAGTACAGACCTTTGGTTTTCCATCATGGTGATTTATGACCTGATGACTTTCTCTCATTATTAACAACCTCAGTTGTACCATCTACCTTTCCAGAAGGAAATTTCTCCATATGGGCATGGCTCACAATCATAGCAGCAAAATTTCTCCCCTTCTTTCTTTTTCTTCTGATAACCAGGGAAGCAGGAATCACTGCAGCATGAAACTGGCAAGTTCTAGTCATAAATATAAAAAGATATTAGAATGAGAGAAATTAGATTTCTTCATTTGTTTGCTTGCTTATCGACTCATCCACAATGAAGTAAGTAAGCAGGTGTTGCAAACTATTGGAGGTACTGCCTTGAGCAATGCAGAATTCATTTTTTTGCAGACTGATCTCCCAATGAAAAAGTATTTGTTGATGGATGAAAAGTAAAAACAAATGAATGCTCATATAAGTTCCTCACTAGAAAGGAGGAAAACACACTAAGGCTATGTGGAAACACACACACCCCACATCGTATTAGGGGGGCCAAATATTAATAAATAATTGCACAATCCCATAATTATTTAATAATTATTGGCCATGTTTCACTAGTACATATGACATATACTGATTCTGTAATATAATGCAGAATTGAGATTCGTATTATTTTATGTTTCATGCTTTCTTAACACCTTAAAAAAGACTTGACCACATTTCAGGGTGCAAAGGACACATCAATGCCTAGCTCTGTCTGCAATACAAGGCCCATTCACCCATGACAGGGTAAGCCTATACAGAAGAGGCTTACTCCAGACTTCAGACCACATATCCTGATAATAGAGTGCCCCTCCCCATGATACACTCAACATCTCACCTGAGTTAAACTCCTAGGCCATGTGATTCCATCCACATCAATGATGAATTCTTTTCCTTCAAGGGCATCAGGATCAACCCTCCCAACTTTAACTTTTAGGACGGAATTGTCTGGTGCTATGACCATGCTCATGATGTCAAATCCACCTCCCATTTTCTTCTTGTCATTAAAGGACACCATTTCTCCAGCTGAGTTGTTGAATGAAATGCCTTGTAGAAATGAATGGAGCTAATAGAAAGATAACAAGAGATTACAGTCCTCATGTCAATATTTGCAAATGCATTTTCTTTCTGAGATCCTTCTAAGGAGTTTCAACTAGCAGAAAACCAAACTAAAAATGAAGAGGTGGGTGGGAGAGAGACCAATCACATAGGATAGAAATGGTCCAGCTCTTCCTGTTTTTCTTTTTGTGGACAGGTAGAGATGGATATGTTGACCTCCCCAGACTAGCTAAGGAAACAAAGTGCACAAGACCACCTCACTATTTATTCCTGGAAGTGAACATTGGACACAGTCAGTGTATTTCACTGGGGAGACATTACCTGCCAAGGTTGGAGATCTTCATGTCTTTGGTCCCCAACCTTTGCTCTGTGTTTGGATCTGGAAGACTCCATGGCATGTGCAGCAGCATAGGCAGCATTATAGATACTGTAACTATGGCCAGACATGGACATTTCAAAAACTGACCCTGGAAGGTGCTCCAGCTTCTCCAGCCCAGTACATAGCATGTAGACCTCATTCAGCCTGCTAGGGTTTGGAAATGAACACTCAAAAGATTGCTCCCAGAATTCCTTGAGAAAGCCATGTTCAAGAGACCAGTCAACTTTAATGTTCTGAAGATATGTCTGGAAACCTGGAGGTTCATTGGAGTGAATAGCAAAGAAAATGGTACCTTGGAAAATCTCAAAATTCCAACGTCTCATGAGTCCAGGTACTGCAAAATCAATCTGAGCTGTCATAATCCATACCTTCCCAAAATATGTGTCCTGCACTGATGCAGGAATTGCTAATGAGAACAAGGTGCATAGCCACATAAGTGTCGGAATTTCACCATACAGCACCAATACTGTGACTTTCCTATCTATGGAAGGCAGATACATATTTGAGGCCATATTTTTTCTTTCACTGAAGAACTGGAAATGGTCTTGGCTTTGTATTCTTTCTGTGAAAGCTGAACAGATTTCATGCTCAGAAAGAAGTGGCTCCAGAGCCTGCAAAAAATGTTCTCCACTGTCATCATCTGCAACAAAAAGTCCAACCCACATCCACCCAAAATGGTTAAGTAAGTGGATAATGCCCATGTTCTGGTGGACTTCATTTGGGGCCATGCGGTAAAAGGAGGTGGCTCGCATTGTTCCAGGCTCTTCTGTGGCAAAAGTCCCATATGTAATCTAAAAGAAAATGCACAAATATTTTAGAGATGGATGAAGAGACATTATCTGTGTGTGTCACCCTACATTTTGATGTAGTGATTGTTTATATATCAGATATTACATCAATGACTGTTCTAGCTGCAATGCTGAAATAAAATGTAATTTCTTGGAACTTGACACATCGAAGAAACCCACTAGACACTCCTTAGTCTATTGAGTGCATTTGTGTGTCCACACACACAGTGTCTGAAGCCATTCTCCATTTTGCCCTTCCTTGTAAACACTGGACAACTCTTTGTCTCCTGTGGATTTAATCTCTCACTTGTTATGAGCCACAAAATCATCCCCACAAGGAAAAGAGAAGAGAGAGAATTATTTGGATATTTGGTGGAATAGCTACTGTGCACAGATCTTACCTGTGGAATTTTGTAGAGGCCTAAAATGTCTGCCATATTGAAGGAGATATCAGAGCCGAGGCCTCCAATGACAGCTATTAATTTCTTCTGGGGACCACATTCATAATTGGGAACAAATCTAAATGATTTGAAGAGCAGATCCAGAGTTGAACGGTACATCAGCCTTTTATTATAGTAGCTGTCATAGATGTGGAAGCCAAGTGTGACGTTGGGCAAGATCTTGGGGTTCTCATTGATCTCATTGACAGCAAAAGCCAAGGCCAGGAGGTGCTGATAGAACTTTGTCACCAAACTGAAAATGGAAAGGCATCCCATTTGACAGAACACTAGTCCAACACATGTAACCATCAGATCACATGAATTAGATGTCCCGGCTTTAAAACTGGATGTTGAAACAATCTCATGGAAACTTCATGGTATTTACCCCTCCCCCACCCAAGCACCTCTCCCACCTTGATCTACCTGGACACTACATTCAACTTCTGCAGCCTTCCTCTGGGTGGAGGCCTTTAAACATCTCCCTGGTCATCCAGGTGCCTTTTTCCTTTCTTCTTGGATGGGTCTTTATATTGCATTTTAATTATTTTAAGTGTTCTAAATGCTGTTCTATCTAGTATATTTTACTGCCTTGTACATCCTGTTGTAGACCACCCAGAGAGTTTCAGCCATGGGTGGTAAAGAAATGTAATTTAATGATGATGATAATAATGACAATAAACAATGTGTGTGGATTTCTGAAGGACTATTGAGAAAGGGCAGTATTGAGGAAATCAATGCAAACCTATAAGATACAGCAAGTTAAACATTGTGCAGACTCACTGAACCATGGGAACCAATATATACCAATCCTGCTGTGTCAATGTAGTGTAGCGAATAGATTGCTGGACTGAGACCCAGCTTCTAGCCTCCACTAAACACTGAAGCTCACTGGGGGACTTGGGATCGATCACTTTCTTTCACCCTAACCTATCACACAGGTTTGTCATGAAGATGAAATGAACAGAAGAAAGAGGATTCTGTAGGTTACCTGGTTCCTTGCAAGAAGGAGGGTGGGATAGAAATACAATAAGTAGATACATGAAATCAATAAATACTGTCTCTTGTAACTGACAGACTTTCAAGTCCTCACTTACAAAGAGCCCTTCTATATCATGAGGTCTTGTGGAAGTGAACTTTGTACATGCAAATTATTGAGTACTGCTGGGCTGCCTCCCTTTGGTTGTGGGCAAACCCCTCTTCTTGGTATGCCATCCCTCTAGTTGGCTACCCTTTATCTCCTGATTCTACATCATGGGATCAAGAGTTATACCAGACTTGGCTGACTCCTGGAGCTCCTGTCCCATGTTGCAGTTCTGGGCCATTCTCATGTCCATCTGAGCACCTGGGTAGAGCAGCCTTGAAATAAACCCCTCTGCTGCTCCCACCTCAATGTCTGGGGGTGCCAGTTCCCAGGATCCATCCTCCTCCTCCTCAGTTGATGAGTCTGAATCTACCTGACCTTGAAACATGCATGAAGAACAATGGCCCTTTTCATTCCCAGCACTGAGTTAGAAGCATATAAATTTAGCACTCTGCAAAATGCCATACCATAATATGTCATTTTAATAAGGGGAGGATATTAGAGCATTTGTTAGCTTTTGTTCCCCCCCACCCCACCCAGTATTTCAGTCTTTTCTACAGTGACCATGAAACACACAAGCTAATTGAGCACCCCCAAATTCCAAACTAAACCCCATTATCTAATGTGCATGTTCAAATATGAGCAGATGTTACTTCAAATGGGAAAAAGCAAACATGGATTTTTAAAAGTGCACACCCAATATGTGCACTTGCTCCCTTTGGCTAAACTTTAAAAATGTGGATTTGGATGACAGTGTGAATCTTCAGTAGAACACTAGTGTAAGTTTGGGAAATTGCAAACATTTTGCAAGAACAGAGCTCCTGCTTATGTTAGTTTTGAGGTTACAGGTTGGACATGTTCACTGCATCTGGAAACAGGAACAAAATTCTCACACCAATCTGGATTTTTGTAAGAAATTCTTGCACCTTTGAGAATGTATATTTCAGTCTATCTGTTCCTGATGCATCTGGGTAATGTATGCAGTACTGTAAACCCAGAGTCCACCTTCTAATATAGAAAGAATTGTCCTATTAAAGGAAAAGGAAGAGTGGAAATTCCATAAGCAAGAAAAAGCCTCAAAATGCACAATGGCCGAAAACAGTGATGTGCTGATGCGGATGGATCCCCCAAGAATACTATTTCCAGAATTTAAAAATATTATCAGGCTTCCAAGCTTGCAGAACCAAAGAAGATGGTAGGAATCCTTACATTGGAAGGTCAAAGCCAGGATCCCGAGAAGGATGCTCCTGGAAGGAAACTTCAGAGAGAAGGTAAGCAATATGAGAAGTGATCCCACCAATAAGGAGACTTCCTGGTTGATACCACTCATGAGCAACTTGCAGAGGGTCATCTCTGGGACACTTAGTACCAGGAAGTGCACTGCACACCATGTGCAACAATGGAAACAGCAGTACCACCACAGCCACCATTGGATGTCTGCTTACAGCCTCCTCACCCACATCAGCCTGGTTTAAGCAAGGTAGATGGAATGGTGGTAGAACCTGCCATTGGATAAGAAGCCTGTCAGCTGTATCTTTAGTAACAAGGCGATGATGACATGCCTTAACTGACAATCATGACTTACAATGACACATCAAAAAGGAGAAACTCGTCAAAATTATTAGCTGCCTGCCTGCCTTTGCCCTGCACCCTCCATCTAAGCTGTGGAGGGTTTTTATAACGAATTTCAGATTTGCTCACTGGTTGTTTTTCTATTTTCCTCTAGAAAAATGCTGAGCCACTAAGCTAATTGCAGTTGTACCGGCTATTACAAAAAAATGAGTTTCCCTCAGAGGATTTAGGGGTGTTTGAACCATAAGGACAGCAAAATATTATCCAAAGAACAAGCAAATGTAGGCATTGACTCATAGTCAGACACAAATGATATTGTGCTAGCAGAAACCAAATTATATGCAGTGGGAGAATCCACTTGCATAACAGTTTGTGTAATGTGTAAAGTCGGTGGAGTTCTGTTAACACAACAGCTTCTTCTGCTAACAGTGCCTTCGATTCAAGCTCTTTATATGAAGCTGATTTTGCCACTGGTTCTGACTTCTGAACTTCTGCAAATAGAGTTCAATTTGTTGGACATTATTCTTCTTCTGGTTGTAGCATCAGTGTGGAAAGCATGGAAACATCGTGTTCATTCTACATATGCACACACTCTATCTTGGCCACCTTAATTTTTTTTCTACCCTCCTTTTTATTTATTTTTTTACAGAACATAAATACATACAGTTGAGATACAATACATATCAAAATATATCAATAATATTAGCATCTACAACCCAACTGATAACTAAAAATAACAACAAACATTGTGCACCCGCTTCCCAGGAGACCACCTTGAATTTTCTGACAATTTCATATTCATGAAAAATTCTGGCTTCCATGTCTCTATGGATGCAATTTGCACAAATTTATGCCATTTAGGATTCCTTTTGACTGTATGAAGCAACACATGGATGCAATAAACTAGCTAAGTTATTCACATAATACTGGTCCACGACGAGAAATCACTTCATAGATTGGTCCAACTCTTTAAGCTATGGTGAAGTTGTCCACCTAAGATTGATAGTAGGAAGTATGACCTCCAAGCTTCAGTTTCAGTGAACTGCATAATCTGCAACTTTAACTGATAAAGACATTACCCTTTTGAGCCTATGTCTCTATTGCATCTTCATTCTGTGTGTGAACTATGTGACTACATGGAGAATGTGCTGTTGTTCTTGACTTCATCAGTGGAATCCAGAATATACAAAAGCAAAAAATAATTCCTTATAGAGAATTGTGCATTCATAAGCAGGAATTATTTTTTTAAACAGAGAAATAAAATTAAGTGTGTTGCTATGTATGGTAACTGAAGCTATTTGAACCTTGTCCTGTGATCCCAATTCCTCCTCCTTCTCATTTATTTATTTATTTATTTATATACCACCCCACAGCCAAAGCTGTCTGGGCAGCTTACACAGTCTGTGAAACAGATGATAAAAAGAGATAATAACCATGAATAACAAAATAGTGACATGGTTAAAAAAAAAAAAAAAAAAACCTGGTGAGCTCCCTCAAATCCCCAGGTGGCCAAAAGCATCAGAAAAGATGGCCATCTTAACCTGGCTTTGAAAAGATGGCAGATTTGACATCATCTGGGTTTCAGTGAGGAGGTCATTCCAGAGATGAGGGGGGCCACTACCAAGAAACTCCTCCCCTTTATGTCCACCTTCCCACACTTCCCTCAGAATTAGTACTTAGAGGAAGACCACAGAGATTGAGTGTTGTGTCCAAGTAGGTCAAGGAGCTATTTGTCACAATGCTAGTGTATTATGTACTTGTCAACTTAAAATAAATACCTTTGAGACCAAAGTAACTTACTTGCAGTTTAATGTTTATATGAATGCCGTAGAGTCTTTAATTTTTTCTCCTCATTAGTTGCTCCCTATTGTTCAACTCAGGTTTCAGGAGAATAACGAAACATTTGGGGAAAAAAATACAGCCCAGTAATCCTGCACTGGAAGCTAAGATAGAGAAGATCTCCACGGCCACCATGTATTTTCCCCTGGTGCTCAGATAGGTGGGAACAAAAGACAACCACACACTGCAAAACACCAACATGCTGAAGGTGATGAACTTGGCTTCATTAAAGCTATCTGGCAACTTCCTGGCAAGGAAAGCCACCACAAAGCTGACAATGGACAGAAGTCCCATGTAGCCCAGGACACAGTAAAACATGATGACAGAGCCTTCATTACATTCTGCTATGATCTCTGTAGTCTGGGACTCCATGTCCAAATCTGGGAATGGGGGAGAGAGGCCTAGCCAGATGGCACACATTCCTGCTTGAATGTGGGAGCAGGAAAGAATGATGGAGTTGGCCAGCCTTTTCCCCACCCACTTCCTCATGCTGGACCCTGGCTTGGTGGCCATGAAAGCAACCACCACAGTGATGGTTTTGGCCAACACACAGGACACAGCTACTGAAAAGATGATGCCAAAGGCAGGTTGGCGGAGAAGGCAGGTTGCCTTCCTAGGTCTTCCAAGGAAGAGCAAAGCACAGAGGAAGCAGAGCAAGAGGGAGACAAGGAGAGTGTAGGTGAGGTCCCGGTTGTTGGCTTTGACAATGGGGGTGTTTTTATGTTTAACAAACATTCCTAACACCAATGCTGTGCTTAGAAAGAAAAATACAACTACTGATGCTAAACTGATTCCTAAAGGTTCTTCATACGATAGGAAGGTTAAACTCTTGGGAATGCAATGATCATGGTTCTTGCTCGGATATTGATCTTCTGGGCAGTTGAAGCAGTCAATCATATCTGAAAACAGAGGGGAGAATACCTTTTCAGCATCAATGCTTTTCTGATGGACTCAACACTCATGATAACCTTTCATGTAGAATCAGTCTAGAAGCCAACATTCATACTGATTTCTAATGGCTGGTATTATTCTTCTTTTTACTTTTATGAAATATAATGTGCAGTTTTCTGTATTTCTAATCAGACTTCTCAGTGTCTGAAAGTCTTTTAAAAAGCACAGATCTTTCTTTTGTTTTCTTTCTCTTTTCTTTATTTTAAAATTTCAGTCCATTTCCTTTAGGAAGGGAATCTGCTTCAATTCTTTCTTCTCTTTCAACTTCCCTCCATTAGTGTCTGTAGAAGGTGAGGATGAAAACGGGAGGGCAAATCTTAAATCCCATTTCCCAATTTGTGATGGTCTGAATCCAAACCTGGCCTACGTACACTTCTGTCAATAACTCATATAATTCTGCTGCGTCCAATCAGCAGAAGCTTTAGTTTGTGTCTGGATTTGCTTTATGTAAGACAATATGTTTTACATCACAGAATCATAGCATAGAAGGAAGTATTTAAGTTTGGGAGTCCAACCTATTGCCCACTGCAGGAATTCATCTCATACCATCTGTGACAGATGGGGGGTCCCAGTTGTTCCTGAATATCTGCAGTGATGGAATACTCACCACCTCACTGCACAGTTTCATAGATCCTGTGAGCATTAGGAAGGTTTTCTTGATGTTCAACTGAAATTCCACCTTCTTAGTACTTAAACCCATTATTTCATTTTGTACAGTCCTGCAAGACACTGATCAGACGGTGACCTCCTCCTGTCTAACAGTGCTTTAGGTATTTGAAAATTGCTCTCATAGCTCCCTTGTTTCTCAAAGTGAAACATACCTAGTTCTTTCCCTCTTTCCTCACAGGAATTAGTTCTGAGCCCAAATTAAACCTTTGCTGCCCTTCTTGGTCCAGACTATCTACATTCTTTGTAATGTGTGACAGCAATACTACCCATAATTTTGAAATTATGTTGCTGTAACCAAAAATTGCATGCACCTTTTTTGGTAGCCACATCACACTACAAACTCATATTCAGCTTTTGGCTGACTTCATCTGCAAGGTACTGTTTATACCTACTATTGTCATTCTGGGAATCCACCATGTTATACCTGTGCATTTGATCCCACTCACCCTTCAAGTTTGAAATTTTCCCTTCTGGACATGAAGCACAATCATAACAACAAAATTTCTCCTCTTCTTTCTTTTTCTTCTGATAACCAGGTCGGCAGGAGTCACTACACACAGAAACAGGCTGAACCTATCACACAAGGGATACTTCAGGGTAGGATAAGATGTCCTTGAGTCCCCATCTTGGGGAATAGATGGGATAACAGCAGCAAACACGTAGTGCTGAAATGGGTGGATGGCCTTGTTGCAAGCATGGCAGATGTATGACAGATGCACAGATGGACCAAAGCTCCACAGAATTTGTCCATCTAGTGTTTCTGGACCTCATGTCATGCTCAGTCCAGAAAGTGAGCCTTAATGAGGACCACAAACACTCACAGAGCAAAGATTCTGCAATTAGTGCCTTCTTCCGCACAACCTGCTGCATGAGACATGGAAGAGGGATACTTCTCGTTTAATGATCCTGCAAAGCTCAGTTACTGGTGAACACTAAGCAAATGCTTAGCACAATTGCCAGGAGCTTGGACTCATGGCTGTGACAAAGTGGACCAGAGACTGAGAAGCCAAGCCAAGGGAATCCATGGGCTTCCCACCTCCAAAATGGATTCCTCACACATCCCTTGAGAGAAGTCATATTTTATAATCTATTGCACAGATGACAAAAGTCCAAGGAGCAGAGAAAGGACTCTGACAGGTTTATCTCAAAGGTACAGGGCTGGTGGTGCATAAATACTTTTTATGTGGCTCCAGTGACCCTATAAAGGTGTACTCAATGAAATTCATGTGCTCTCCTTACAGAATGTATACATTTTCGAGTATTGTGAACAGAGCTACTAGAGCTTTACTAAATCATCCCTTAGTTTTTGTATATGTTACAAGGCATTGGCATTATTACATTGATCACCCAAAATGGGATCATGTTATAAGGAGATGACATTTTCAGGTCAACAAGCACCCGTCTAGAGAAAGGTCCCACTTGCATTCATATACCCAATAATTCATACCTGATTATACTGTCTGGGCCACATAATTATATCCTCATTAATGAAGAGTCTTTTTCCTTCAGGGGCACTGGGCTCCATTTTCCCAATCTCTACTCGAAGGAAGGAATTGTTTGGGAAGTTTAACATGTTGATTATGTCAAATCCACCTCCCATTTCTTTTTTGTCATCAAAGGACACCTCTTCTCCAGCTGAGTTGTTGAATGAAACACCTTGAAGAAATGGATGGAGCTAGTTTAAGAAAAGAAAAAGAACAAGAAAGGGAGGAGATTGGAGATTTGCAAGCATCTTGCTGACACAATCATGTAACAAGGCTTAGCTTGAAAAAGCAGTTCTTTGCAGAGGCAGAATACTAAAAAGTGTTACAACTTATCGTTGGGCTCCAAGCATGGAAAGAAATGTGACCTCACAAACATTTGCTGTCACTTTGCTGTTGTTCAGGGATTCACTACATGTGATGTCCCTCTGAAGACTGCTGTACAAAGGATGTAGGAGAATTCTATTTTGGAAGTGCAATCTTGATGGATTTTACTGGTTCGATGGAGGTAGATTTTGTTCTGTTTCCCCCACCAATGTTGACTCACTCTGCAGTAAGTTGTTCCAATGCATGAATGGCAGTTGCTTAGTTATTGTTTCTTTTCTTTTTAATGACAAGAGCAATTTGTGAAATGGGTTGTTGTGTGTGCACGCATGCATGATTCTCATATGCTTTATGCAGAAGGCCTTAGAAGGTTTTCCATTAGTATGATACTACTGGGGTTTACTCACTTGGAGGCAACAAATAATAGGGACTTTAGGATGATTAACCATGGCAAACTATCCAAGACCTGTGTTGAGGAATAACAGCTGTTGCTTCATTCCATTATGACTTGGGAAAGTAAGAATTAGAAGCCATCTTCTCTTGCACTAACCTCCTCAGGGCAAACAGAACAAAACATCTTGTCACATCCTGGAGATCTTACCTGCCATGACTTGAGATACTGAAATCCAACTTGCTGATGCCTCGGCTTTGTTCTGTGCCTGGATCTGGATGACTCCATGGCATGGAGTGCATGTGCCACAGCATAGACTGCATTATAAATACTGTAGCTGTGGCCAGTCATGCGCATTTCAAAGAGAGGTCCAGGAAGGCCCTCCAACTTTTCCTTCCCAGCACATGCATCATTATTCTCCTCTGATACTTTCCAGCACTGGAATCTACAGTTAAATGCTTGCTCCCAGAAATCCTTGAGAAAGCCATTTCTTTCTGAGAGGCAAGGTTCTACTCTCTGAAGAAATGTCTTGAATCCTGGAAGTTCACGTGAGTGAATCGTGAAGGAGATGGCCCCTTGGAACATTTGAAGATCTGAGCCCCGCTGAAGGCTCGTTAGTGCAAAATCAATCTGGGCAGTCATAATCCAGACCCTTTCAAGTGATTTGGTTTTGCTATGTTCAGGAGCTCCCAGAAGCAGAAAATAGCTCATCCATATAATGGACAATGTTTCTCCATAAACGACAAATGCGTTAACCCGGGCAACTGTCAAAGGTAGATGAATACTTTGGACCATTTCATTGATTTCGTGCATACCATTCAACTGAGCTTGTTGTGGGATCCTTGCTGTGAAAGCCGAACAGATTCTGTTTTTGGAAAGCAGAGGTTCTAGGACCTGCAAGAAATGTTCTCCACTCTCATCATTGACAATGAAGAACCCAACCCATGTCCATCTGAAATGCTGGAGTAACCGAATGATTCCCATGTACTGATGGGCTTCATTTGGAACCATGCGGTACAGGGAAGGGGACTGGGTTGCATAACTTTCTTCTGGAGCAAAGGAGCCATATGTGAGCTGAAAGAAAATGTAGCTATTTTAGAGTCTGACCACCTGACTGAAAAAGCATAGGGGTGCAATTTTCCACTATAAATCCCAATTAATAATGCATTTTCATGTGCACGCTTAGGGAATGAGAAATTCAATATCTCTTCCACTTGAATGATCTCTCTGTGTGAAAAGATCATATAATTTCTTGGTACATAGAAAACGACAAAGAAACCTGCTAAAATTAGTTAACTTTGCCTTTTCCTTCTTGTCCCCTTTCTGGGCTTGATCTCTACTGGGGTTTTATTTGAGATTGGGAAGATTCACCTTAAGTTTGCATATCAATATGATTTAACCAAAATTATTTATTTTTATATTTATAAACCACCAAATAGATCAAGTGAGCTCTCTAGACAGCACACAGCAATGAAATTTCAACCAAACCATTAAACTTATCATTAAAAATAACCAATATGTAATAATGCTAACATGGGCAAGATCAATTTCAAAAAGCATGACTACATGAGGACAAGCAAATATTAAGATACAATAAAAATTTAAGCATCTAAAAACCCACTATTAAAATCAATTATTATAACTATTAAAATAGGTGGAGATACGTTTTATTTATTTATTTATTTATTTAAAATATTTATATGCCAACCTAGTTCACAAAAAGCCTCAGGACGACTTACAACAAGCCTGGTTTTTGCCTGGTACCAAAGCAGAGCTGGCTTCAGGCAAACTGCTCTGGGGAGCCTCTTCCACAAATTTAGACTCTCTGAATGAATATTTAAACAGAACACAGCTGTTCTTTGGTCCTTGCAATTCTCCCAATTTTGTAATGCAATTCTCTGAAGCAAAAATGCCTACAAATATACACCTAGTAAGGGGAGGCTTACATCAAACTGTGTATAGGTACAATCCAATCAAGATGCTCACAGGACTTCAAAACCAGAGAATGATGGGCATCCCATACAGGAAGGGAGTATGGAGGTGGAGGTCACCTTTGCATTCCAGTCATCCTGAGGAAAGGAGGCTGGGAGGTGATGCCTGTCTCCTCCCCATCCACTGCCCAAGAGGGCCTCACACCCCCATCACTGAGGTTGCTTGTGGACACATGGAGAGCCAGGCAGCATGGTTTTTCCTGTGTGGACAGCAACAGAAGAGAGGATGCTCTGAGCTCTGGTACCCAGCTATGAGACTGGACCACTTCTCTGACCTCACAGCTGGATTTCCAACATATCCAGTGTCCAGTGGCTATAAGGCTGCACAGCATATTAGTGGGATACACACAGAACTGCCTGTATTAATCAAAAAGGAAGTATAAGGATGCCTATATTCATGAAACATACAAAAAGGCATAATGTAAGGGGAATCTGGAGACCGCATGTGGTGCAGTGGTTTAAACCACTGTGCTGCTGGGCTGGTAGATCAAAAGGTCGCCAGTTCAGATCAGCACAATGGGGTGAGTTCCCATTGCTCTGTCCCAGCTCCTGCCAACCTTGCAGTTCGAAAGCATGCAAATGCAAGTAGATAAAATGTACCACTTTGGTGGGCAGATAACAGTGTTCCGTGCACTTCGGTGTTTAGTCATGCCGGCCCCATGACCACGGAGACTGTCTGCGGACAAACGCTGGCTCCCTCAGCTAGGAAACGGAGATGAGCACTGCCTCCTAGAGTCAGGCATGACTGGACGTAATGTCAAAAGGAAACCTTTACCTTTACCTTTTAAGGGGAATCTGTTCACAAGCAAGTATATATTTAGAGGAAAACATCCAGACTTCCATAGGAATTTTCCATGTGAATGTTAAACAAAAAATATTGGCGCAAAAAGAAATCAGAAAGTTTGTGTGATGGAAGTGGGGAGAGAGAAAGAGGATGGATGGAATGAATGAATGAAGGAAGGAAGGAAGGAAAAAGGAAGGAAGGAGCTTATAACCCTTGTTTTTAAATACTATTACTTTCCAGATAAGTGAAATTTTTGTGCCAATGTATGCTGTGCCATTTTTTTATCTATACTTGTTGTAAACTATCCTGAGACACTAGTAATGGGATGGTCCATAAAGGCAATAAATAAATAAATAAATAAGTAAGTAAGTAAGTGTAAGATGAAGTTTTAATTTCTAAAAAGCAAAGAAAAATCCCCTTGCTCCCTTGCCTTTATCTTACCTGTGGAACCTTGTAGAGACTTAAGAGATCAGCAATATGGAAGGTGATATCAGAGCCAAGTCCCCCAATAACAGCCATTAGGTTTTTCTGGGTACCACATTCATAGCTGGGGACAAACCGTTGTGATTTAAAGAGCAGGTCTAGAGTTGTACGGTACGTCCTCTTTGCATCATAGTAGCTGTCACGGATGTGGAATCCAAGTGTGATATTGGGTAACATCTTGGGGTTCTCATTAATTTCCTGTATGGCAAATGCCAAGGCTAGAACATGCTGGTAGAATTTTGTCACCACACTGCCAACAGATTGACATTCTCATTCAGAGGAAATGCTGAAGGCCTTGCAATCATTTGGTCATTGTGCAAGCTAACACCAGCTTTAAGATGTTACACTTTTGCAAGGATTGTAACTGTTCTTCACCACTTGAAAGAGGAGTGGATAATTCTCCTTAAGAGTGATGGAACAAAGCAATGAGTGTGACTGGGGCTGGAGATAAATGGTAAAAGGTCTCAGGAGGACAGGACCTTTGACCATTTATCTCAAATGGACAGGGATGCCAACTGGGTCATTCCCCCTCCTCTATATTTCTAAAATTAGCCCCAGAAATGAGAAGTTTTGCCCACTCTTGGATGAGGGTGGCTTAGTGGAACTTCCTTGGAAAGTCTCCACCAAGCTGTCCCATTTTCAGAATGAGCATTGCCCCTTTGAAGGGTCATTTTTAAGACCCGCAGCAGTCCCAATGAAAAAACAGTGGGTCTTGTAGGTCCTCGGGCATCAAAAATGATGGGATGAGAAATTGTGGAGTACTATTGAAAACAAGGGAGTAACCTTGTTTGGGAATAAGCTTGAGCTTCATCCAGAAGGCACAGCTAATTAAATGGTGATGGTCCAACTTGCAATCTTATTCATTTCTACTCAGACACAAGCCCTGTTGGAGCCTCAAACTCCGGCATTTTCATTTAGGGATAGGAAAGAATCCTGCCTGAATCCCTGGACAGATTGTGTTGGAATACAGGGCTGGAAGCACCCATGGTCTGACTATGGAAGGCAGCTTCCTGAGCTCCAATGCAATGGGGATTGTTTCTAGTTAAGTCCCATGTGACTTAAGTCCCATGTCATGCTAATCCTTTGTCAGCTGCACTAGCTACCTGTTGTCACTCAGGCCCAACACACAAGCCCTGAACAGCTTGGAGCCAGGATATCTGAAGGAATGCCTGTCCCCACATATCCCTACCAGTCCTGTAAAATCCTTGTCTAAAAAGCCACCCCCTAAATGGGGAAAATGGGTAGGGGAAAGCCTTCTCAGTGATGGCACCCCACTTATGGAATGCCCTCCCTAAGGATTCACACTTGGCACCATCACTGCTTGCCTTTTGGTGCCAAGTTTTTATTTAACACATGCTTTTAGTGCCACTTTGGATTTTATTCCATTAACCTTTGCTCCTTTCTCTGCCTCAAATATCAGATTTTAATATTCTATTTCTATTTTACTCTTGCATTGCTTTTATTGCTGTTTGTTCTTCCTTTCTCTCTAAGCTGCCCAGAGAGCCCTTCAGGCTATAGGGCAGCATATAAATATCACAAACACATAAATAAATTCAAGTCAAAGGGCCTGAGAGTTGAGTAAAGATACACATCCACAAAAGGGGACCCACTAGACAATTTGTGCCCAACTGTGCAGGGTTGAGTGTGGCTCGGGAAGGGATTTTTCCAGGCCTGATGCTTGCAATGATGTCATAAACTGAATGGCAGACTTCCTATAGATAAAGCATGAGCTTTACTGATGAGCTATCACCAAAGATGTGTTGCAAGAGAGCCAAACTCATTCCACTATGACAAATGACCCTTCAAATTTGGCTTGACCTTTTCCTAACTGTAGCAACAAGCATAGACCATTATGGACACCCAGAGCAATAGCATATGACACATTTTGCACATTATAAACATTCAGGACAGTCTTCTTTCCCATGAAACCTCTAAAAACCTGCAAATATGAAAAAAAAATGTTCAGGCCAATTTTTAATACAGATTTACCTTACCTGAAGCTCCTGAAAATCTCTGCAAATGAGAACACACATCTGCACCACATTCCATGCTTTTCAGCAGCTAAAGAACCAGATGCCAAGATACACATATGATGGGAAAGAGCACACAAAATGTGCATTGAGGAAAGCATACTCAAAAATTAATTCCGTTCATGGCAAAAATTATGCACGCTAGGGGAAATGCACACAAAAATAAGCATATTGGATGCAATGTGCCCTGTCATCTGTACAAGTTGTCATACAGACTTCCCGTGTGCTCCAGTTTATAAAGTGATATAAAAACAGGATGAATGAAATTTACGGTTGGGGGAACAAGAAATAGAGTGAAATCAAGATTGACAGATTCAGCCAGCCCTAATTAAAAATGACTAGCTTTTTCATTAGCGAGACTCATCTGGAAATATTTTCATGGCTCCTCCTTCTCAGTGTTCCAGACTGATCATTGTGCTAAATAACATCTTACATGCATGTGTGTTGTGTGTGTGTGTGTGTGTGCATATGTGTGTTAATCAATTTGAAATCGTTACTTGGTCACTCATTATTTTTACTCTCTTGACCAGGGATTGTGTTGCATTTTGTTTAGTAAATTTTTGAGCCTTGCAGAATTGAGCAGCTTGAGCATAGAACTCTGGAGCACAGTTACATGGGTTGGCATTCCTATTTCCTGGATAGTTAAAAAAAGCCACTGGGTTTCTAAGTTTCATATGGGAAAGTTGAGAAATCCTTACACTGGG